AGAATGACATTACCACTTGCTAACTCTTGTGAAATTACGGGACTAGCCAACTACTAGTAAAAATTTGGACTAAACATGGAAAATATGAATTCATTGGTACACCCAAACGATTGAAGAGTTGAAGTTAATTCCAGTCAGAAAACAAAGTTGGCACATCTAGCTTCTAGGACATCATGCAGTAGATTCTGTGCAGTGCACATCACACACTGGGTTTACAGGTTTGATGTGATGAAACAAATGAGAACAACTATAATTTTCTTCATGTTCCTATCTTAATCACTGCAGTTACTAAAATATTTAAATGCAAAAAGGCATCCACTTAACTTTATTTACTGAAAATCTACTGTGCTTCCTCTGTGTACCGTTGTGATGATGGCACATGACGGGAATTTAGATGGCACATGGGTAATCAATACTAATCAACACTTTATTATTTATAGATTTTAAAAAGATGCAGAAAGATGTAACTAATTCAACAAACCACTGGTTTCAGACTTTATTCTCAGTAGATTAATAAGAAGAAATTAACATATTGATTATACTTCTAGGGAGGGGCAAAATGAGGGCTTAACCTCTGTCTGTAGTATTTTTCCATCTTAAAAAAATCTGAAGAAAGAAGTAACCTAACCTAAAAACAAACAATTATACAGTTGATAGGATGTGGAAAAAATCCCAAGGGTAGTATGTGAAACTGACATTTTAGAAATAACATTCAAGTGTCCAACGCTATGCTAGACAAAATTGCCTCCTAAAGAAAGCCAGAGAAGGATTTAGCAGTTTCATGGACTTAAGGAGATTTTATTTATAATAATGTACATCTCAGTTATTGATTACTACTACTTTAAAGTAACTTAACTGCGATCTTCTTAGTGATATGTCAAAATTAATAAACACAAAGAGCCTGAAACTGCAAGGAGGGAAAAAAGCAGACTCAATATAAGCACTATCAACACAATTAACAACTATTTATCGAATAAATAAATAATGTTAACACTTTACCAAGCAGTGTTCAGTTTTTTAAGTTTTCCATGTATGATGTACTCATGCTATGCGGTACTATTATCATCCTCATCTTATAGATGAAGAAACTAACTTGACAGGGGCTGACTTACAAAGTTCTCCTAAATAGTGTAATTCTAAAAGGATGACAGAGGTGCTACAATTTTTCATCTCTCCAAAACCCCTTAGGTCAGACGTTAAGTAGACAGCAAAACCCAAAACCAATAAGCAAAAACATTTGCAACAAATCTACCTGAACAAGGTTATCTCACAACCCCCCAAAAATATGTTAATTAGGAAAAACTCACGGTCAGAAACATCGTACATTCTAAGAATCTACTGTACAAGAGGAAACTGAAGTCATAGCATATCTGAAAGGGCTACAAATAGGAGAAACACAAAATAGACAACAGTTGTTCACAAGAAATCATGGCAGGTCAAACTGAGAACAGCTGAAACTGAGATACATTTTGCCCACTCCAGTAATAAATAAATAGAAAAACCTCCAACAAGGGCTGAAAAGTCTTGTTCCCATGAGCTCTTGAAAGTGACCCACCAGAGCTCCCATTCAGAGGAGACCCCACACACAAGAGAAACAGACAAGATAAAGGACCCAAATAAAAGCAAAACAAAACCTAGAAATTTCAGAAAGCAAGCTCCATGCTCTTAACACTTCACAAAAACAGTGAGAGAGCTCTGTGAAGTTACAACAGCTACTCTGAACCATGACTCCTACTCAAAGTTCAGGAAAACTACTTTTACATAAAAATGCAAGACAGAAAAATATCAAGGTCAAATCAGATATGAAACTGTTGTTAGAGAAAAGGAGAATAAGGAGCAGAAATAACATCCCTTAAGACAGTGAAGCAGAGCTAGACAGACTTGATCAAAACCTTATACTATTTCAAAACGAGCTAAAAACAAGAGAAAAATGATGCAAGTCAGTCAGAGCAACTCAGAAAATGAAGCAAGAGAATACGGCAAAAATCCAGAACAAACTACTTCAGGAAACGACGACTAAACTAGAAAGCACAGAACAAATAAATGATCACAACAGTAAGAATCCTTCAAGAGAGGAAATTTTTAAAAATCAAAATGGAATTAAATTTAAAATTTCACTTTGAAAGACACTGTTAAGAGAATAAAGACAAGCCACACAGTGAAGTATTTGCAAACCACATAGGACAAAGAATTTGTATCCATATATATAAAGAACTCTCAAAATCCAGTAAGAAGTCTAAGAACTCCGTTTTAAAATGGGCAAAGACGTGAAGAATCAACTTACAACTTACTAAAGACACACAAACAGCAAATAAACACTTGAAAAGACACTCAACATCATTAGTCATTAGGCAAATACAAATTACAATCACTATACAATAGGCACCTATTAGAATACATGACCTGAGAAAGACTGATCATAGTAAGTATTGGAAAGGATGTGGAGAAGCTAATCTGAACTCCCGTAATGCTAGCAGAAAGTAAACTGGTACAATCACTCTAGGAAACAGTTTGGAAGTTTCTAAAGTTAAATATACACATACCATATGACCCAACCATTCCACTTGAGGATGGATTGTTATCCAAGAGGAAAGAATGCATACAAAGACACATACACAAATGTTCATAGCTTTTTTTTTAAAAAGTAAAAAACCTGGAAATACTGCGAATGTCCATCAACAAGTGAATGAACCAACATCTGTAGGATATCCATGTAAAGACTACTATTCAAAAATAAAAAGGAATGAATTATTAATTTCTGGACATGGAGTAATTTTAAGTTACTCTGAGTAAAAAAAAGCAGACATAAAGCAATTATCCTCCAATTAAAAAAAAAATTGTTAAAAGGCAAAGAATACACTGTATGATTCCATTTACAAACAATTTCAGAATATGCTAACTAATCTACCTGAGGGGATAAGCGCACACACAAGGAAGACAGGTGACAAAGGGCAAGAGGAAACTTCTGGGAGTACTGTTTATATAGTCTCCATCTGGAGTGCAGTGATAAGTTTCTTAAGTGCAGATGTAAAAATTGACCAAAATACACAGTTCAATAAATGAAGCTGTTTTCAATAAATGAAGAGTTTTAAAAAAAAACCAAAAAGGCATTATTGAATAAACTTATTTTCTAAAATCAGAAACGAGGGGGAAAAAAACCCAGGCATTCTTAAGAAATTCACCTGTACTAAACATCAAAAAGATTTGAACTGCTATCCTTTAGATTTTCATTCTCCTATTTACGATCTTAGAAGTTAGACAAAGCTCAGTTTAACCATAAACGATGACAGAAAACTGCAAATTTCCATATCAAAAGTTAAGGCATGCTCAAATTGATTAAAAAACCAAAGGTTAAATAAAACTAAATGTAAAAACACTGTCTGAATCATAAATTTAAAAATATCTTCCAAAATCCATAAAGAATCTAACACCACCGGTCATTTTAATATAAAAATAGTAAGACCTATAGTAAGACCTCGAGATTGTGGGCAAGGGGGGAGGAGTGTGGACACGGATCGGACAACTGATGATCTTCTAAAGTCCTCTACTAGATAAATAATTGCCCAGAAAAATCAGGTTAAATTTGTCTAGCAACTTGGTGATCCAGTCAAACAGGATATTAAAAAGCTTCCTTGAAGAAACTTTCAACTACTTATACATTTATGGCCAATGCACTGTATCAAAAAGGGAAGGCAATCTGCACAGACCTAGAAAGAGGTTTTAAGTATTTAACTCCAAACACTCTTGTTTATTAAAACTCTAAAGTAAAACGCTTCGCCTCCTGATATTGTAGAGGTGTAAGTTAGGACCAACTAACAATTAATACAAATTATTCAGCATCAATTTTTTTAAAATCAAGATGATTAAGAGACTATAATTCAGAAGCAAAAATTACTTTTTTTTTTTATTCTGAAGGGTTCCACTTCTTTAAGGCAGTAAGTATAAACTTAAGACTGAATGCATCAGTTAAATTCCTAAGGTGACTGGTAATTTTAATAAGCACCAAGGAGTTTCAGTTGTTGGCATGACCATTAGAGGTTCCCCCTGCCCCTTTTAAAAGCAGGATAGTTATCAGACTATGCTACAACCATAAGCAAATTTTTTAAGAAATGAACATTTGCTAATAAAGCCATAAAGGATACATTACATAATTGCTGAAGCTTACACTCTTTTTATTAGGCCTCAAAAATAATTTTTAAAAAACCCACTTTTTAACACTACACCTTCCAAAACCTCTCCCCTTTCTGCTCCCTACCCCTACATAAAGACAAGACTACAAGTCAGTCACCAAACCTGCACTGCTCTCTACAAATAAACAGCCGGAGAATGAAAACAACTCCTGCAAAACACACTGCACACAATGAAATGATATGTTCCTTTGAAAACAGTCTTAACTTCACAGTACAAGTTTCAGATTCACAACATTTGGAATCAAGCCTAATAAAATGCTGAGCATATGCAAACAAGTTAGCTATCCTAGAAAGTTTACAGGACAGTCAAGACTGTAGCATCTGGAATTTGTCAGATAATCACCCTGAGTGGCCAAGTGAATAAATAGAAGTGATACTTCCAGCACCCACATACATAAATGACAACAAAAGGTTGGATACAGGACAATATGAGAAAATACCACCACCCCCCCCCCCGCAAAAAAAGAATCTGAAATAGAATCAAAACCACAAAATTCTGGAAATAAGCCCGCTTGTTATGGCCAAAAAGAGTCACAGTGGAACATGCATTCTTCCTTTCTCTGGCTGTTCTAGACTAATACATTCTAAACGTGCAAAAGCATAAAGGAAAATTTTAATGAAGTTTAAAAATTCATTACAGAGCACGGTGTGAAGTGAATGAAGCATATACACTGAGTAAATGCTTTAAATATGGGGCTTGTATTTAGACAGATGGATTATTCAATGCTTCTGAATACACTTCTGTCCCTTTCCTAAGCGATTCTGAAGGACACACAGGTTTATGAATACGACTACATGTTTTCAACTCACATTGTTTCTCCAGTCTTGGCTACATGACAAAGAAACTGATCCAGGACCGGACAAACTTCCTTTTTCCCCCTCTTCTCAAAATCTAGATAAGGGAAGAAACAAAAGTTATTAGTATTTTTTCAAAGTACACCAACCATATCCTATACCCTTTAAAAACAAACTTTCCTCTCCAGTCATTCCTCATATTAAGAAACTAATTTTTTAATTCAAAAAGCCTCTCAAACAAATTCCACCTGACTCTCCAACTTCAAATGTCACTCTTCACAGGCAACGAGACCCTTCCTAAAGAGGGCACTTAACTTCTCCACCAACCATCCTTAATGCAGTCCGGGGGATTCATCTCAAAGACCTGTTAAAATACAAACCCCAGATCGCAACTCCCCCAAAACTGTTTACGTGAGGTTCATAAATCTGCGTTATATTAAACACCAGCTCCCTTTTGCAGTAATCAACCAATGATCCTGGGTATCAAAGTCTAATTCTCAAAACGCTGAAATCACGGTATTCTAAGTTCTCAAGCCTGTTGCTCGGATGGCGAGCAATTCGGAGCGGGGAAGGCGACCACTTCAGAACTGGGGCGCGTGGAAGATGACTCCAGAAGCCCTGAAAAAAGGGCCTCCAGAGACACTTGAAAGTTGCTCTGCCGCCCCCTCTACACCCCCCCCCCCCGAAACCTTTCACTTTTTCTCTCCCCTCGATGTCCGGTGTGCAGGGGGCTGATAGAGAACGAAGCCTGCCTGCGAGGGGGCTGCGGGCCCACGAAACGTTCACGGGGAGTGGGAGAGGGGCCGGGGCCCCCTCGAGAGCTTCCCGACTCCCCTCCCCCAGCTCAGACGCCGGCGGCCGACACAAAGCCCAGAGCGGGGCGGGAGGGAGCTGCCCACGGGGCTCCCCGCCCCCGGGAAAGCGGGAGGGGGGAGGGGAGCCGGCGAAGCGCCCTCCCCCCAGCCTGGCCCCGCGGAGTCACTCGCCCAGAAGGGAGCAGAGAAGCGGCCACGGAGGGTGAGGAGGAAGGGAGAGGGGGCAGCTACCCCCACCTTTCAGCGCCTCCTGCAGCCTCTCGACGTCCATGGCTTCCCGGAGTCCCTCGCAGCCTCCGCCTCCTTCCGCGGGTCTCCCGGGGACCGGAAGGCCTCCCCCCACCCCCCCGACGCCCTCCCCCTCCCTCGCACACACTCCGGCACGCAGGCGATTCGGGGGGGGCACCGAAGGGAGCTGGGGGAAGCCAGCGAGAGAGCGAGACCGACAGAGCGAGCACCTCCCCGAGCCGCTACCACCAGCCCTCCAACATGGCGCCCGGCACGTCACCGCGCGCACGCTCCTCGCCGCCGTCCTCGCGCCCGCGGCGCGTCCGGACCCGGAGCCCGAGAGCGCGTGCGCGGCGGAGGCGTGCGGCCGCGGCCAGCCCGCAGACTTGGCAGGGCCGCCCCGCCTATCCCTTGGGTTGTCCGGCGCTGCCTGCACCTAGCTGGAAACGGAGTGGTCTAGGCGGCGGGGTGGGCGCACACAGTATGACTGTGGATCCCTGCTGTTTGCTAGCTGTGTCACCTTGAGCAATTTGATGAGTCCCTCTGAGCCTCCCTTTCCCCATCTGTACTATGATGGAAGTAGTATGAACCACTCTTTATGGTTGCTGTGAAAATTGAGACTGTATACACACAGAACACGCATTAAAAAACAACAACAACAACTCCGTATTACTAATAATCATAACTCCCTGCCTGAACCCAAAGCACCTCAATGGCCTAGCCTTGAAAAGAAGGGATGAACACAGCAAAAGCGTGAGAAGTTTAAGCAATGGAACCAGCTGAATTTAAAGTCCAACGCAACTATTTATTACTACTACTTGTGTGGCTAGTTGCTTAAACTCACATAGCTTCTGTTTTCTCATCCACAAAATGGAAGTTTGTTAAACTGCGACGATAAAGCATTGTGCGCATGTGGCGCCTGGAACATAAGCACTCAAGTTAATGCGGCTGCTGTTTTTATTATCATTATGGTTTTGATTACATTACATAAGCACCCAGGAAGTTAGGGCGGAGACCTCAGAAGTTCTCCCCCAGCCCTGACATCTTACAAATGGGATAGCTGAGGCGTAGAGAGGTAGTCTAGCAAAACAGTAGAACCTAGAACCTCTGGCAACCAGCTAGTGTGTGAACATCTTTATTACTCTCCCTTGTCTGTGAGCTTTTCAAGAAAAGTTACTGAATTGTTCCACCGTCGCTTCTCAAAGCCTAACACAAACCCAAGGAAGGAAGGGAGAGAGGGAGGCAGGAAGGACAGAAAGCTAATCTTGACTGGTGTTAGAAAGTGCAAATTTGGACACAGCCATCACAAGTGCTGACCCTGTTAAAAGATGGCGGCTCTGACCCTGACCCTAGGTGGCAGACGTAGGGAAAAGCCCCACTACAAAAAAAATAATTTCTTCAATTTTGCCATCAGAGAACTAGTCCCTAGTATCTTTAGACCCTTTCACTGTTCTAAGCATTCTGCTCAGTTACAAAGAGCCTTGTAGGAGATGTCTTAGGTTGGTGTCCTCACAGTGGGCCAGTGCTTTAAAGACACCCATGCTTGTGTTGGTCGCTTCAGTCTTGTCTGACTGTGACACTCTGAACTAAAGCCCGCCAGGCTCCTCTGTCCATGGGATTTTCCCAGCAAAAATATTGGAATAGGTTGCCACGCCCTCCTCCAGGGGACCTTCCCCACCCAGGGATCAAACTCACATCTCCTGCATTGCAGGCGGATTGTTTATGGCTGAACCACCAGGGAAGCCCATCAAATACACTGAATTTAGTTTATTGTCCCCTGGAGAAGGAAATGGCAACCCACTCCAGCATTCTTGCCAGCAGAATTCCAAGTACAGAGGAGCCCTTCCAGTCTGAAGGGGCTTGTCCTCTACACAACAAAGCTTAGCCTCCCTCTCTGCCACCCTGGACTGTCTTTAAGCAGGGGTCTTCTGGTAAGACCTGTGTGGAACAATACAGTCACCACTAGCCACGTGTACGTATTTAAATTTAAATTAAATAGAATTTAAATTCAACTCCTGAGTTTCTCAATATAATTCAATTCCTCAGTCACGCCAGCCACATTTCCTGTGTTCAGAAGCCCCATGAGGCTAGTGACTTTTGCATTGTACAGCAGAGAAAGAAAATTCCATGATCGCCTAAAGTTCTTCTGGAACTTTCTGTTAGAGAACATACCGTGCTAATTTCTTACACCTTGCTTTGTCTCTTTTCATCAGCTGTTCCCCTCAGTTGGAGATGTCTCCAAACTGACTTCCAAAAACTGGATAAGGTCCATGAAAGGAGATAAAGTACACACAGCAGCAACAACCTAAGGGAATCAGGGAAAACTTTCCCTAGAGGAAGTAGTTGTGTTTAAGCTGAGAGCTGAATTCTGAAAGGAAAGTAGCCAAAGTGAAGCGGAGAGAAGTTTTCAAAGGGAAAAACTGTAGATGTGCACAGGCCTTGAAATGAGATTAGGAGTGAGGTGGTCTCAGTCTGGCTTAAGCTGAGAGTGCAAGGGAGGAAGAGGCAGGGATAAGGCTGAAGAAATATTTTATTTGTTTCCTTCCTTCTTCTTCCTGGGAACTTTTCTCTAGCCAGTGCTCATCTCACTGTCTGCGATTGCTAGAACCTCCTATTGGTACTCACCCACTTAGAGCAAAACAAAATGTGATGTCCAGCCTCTACGATTGCCCCCAAGATGCTTGCCTCCTGGGGTTCATGCCCCAGTGTAGTCCCCTCCCAGGTGAATCAGAGCAAGTCTGTGTGAACAATAAGCGTGGTGGGAGGGATGGTATTTGACTTCTGAGGCTAGGTCATAAACAATGCCGAAGCTTCTGCTCTGGGCACTTGTATTTAGTTCTCTCTAGAGGAAGCCAGCTGCCATGTCACCAGAACATCAGAGCAGCCTGTGGAAATGCCCAAATGGAGAAGACTGATGCCTTTAAATTGAGTCTTCCCACCCCAGGTAATCTGCAGCCCCAGCTGGGGTCTGGGCCACAGCCTTGTGAAGGATCCCAAGCCAGAACCATCCATCTAAGCTGTGCCTCAAGTCCTGATCCACAGAAACTATGAACGATGAAAAATGTTTATAATTGTTCTCAGCTTCTAAATTCTGAGATAATTTAATTACATAGCACTTAAAGGTCCGTCTAGTCAAGGCTATGGTTTTTCCAGTGATCATGTATGGATGTGAGAGTTGGACTGTGAAGAAAGCTGAGCGCCGAAAAATTGATGCTTTTGAACTGTGGTGTTGGAGAAGACTCTTGAGAGTCCCTTGGACTGCAAGTAGATCCAACCAGTCCATCCTAAAGATCAGTTGTGGGTGGTCATTGGAAGGACTGATGCTGAAGTTGAAGCTCCAATACTTTGGCCACCTCATGCGAAGAGTTGACTCATTGGAAAAGACCCTGATGCTGGGAGGGATTGGGGGCAGGAGGAGAAGGGGACGACAGAGGATGAGATGTCTGGATGGCATCACTGACTCGATAGACATGAGTTTGAGTAAACTCTGGAAGTTTGTGATGGACAGGGAGGCCTGGCGTGCTGCGATTCATGGGGTCGCAAAGAGTCAGACACAACTGACTGAACTGAACTGAACTGAACTGAGATAACTAATGCAACAAAGGAGAATATTAATAGTAACAGCTAACATTAAGTATTCTCTTTGTGTCTAGCATTCTTCTAAGCACTGTAGAAAAATATTTAATTTAATCCTTGCAAAAATCCTGGAAGTGAGATTATGACCCCCACTAAAGCAGCTGAGTTGTAAAGAAGTAAACTAACTTGTCCAAGTTGACACAGCTACACAGGCAAGTGACTGATCCGTGATTCAAACCTGGACTGATTTCAGAGCCTGAGATGCTTTGTTGTATTCAAGAAGGTTGCAAATGACCAGGGGAAATAAGACAGAATATAGACTCTGATGCAAAGTAGAAGGCAAATATGCAAATCAGATGATCAGAGGCCTGTAACATCTCTTCCAGGCAAGGATAGAAGTTACTTTTTGGAAGAGACTAACTTAAAGATGGGAAAATATTTGTACCACAAGAGAAGAGACTTCCAGGCAAAGGGGATGGTATTAACCCAGGCAAACAGTCCGTGAGGGCTTCCTCTGTGTTGCAGACAAAACGTGTGGAATCTCTTCCTCGCACAGAGACTGAGTATAATGGAGGAGCATATTCAATAAGTGTGAATATGTAAGAAGACTAGCCCATTCCTCTGGGAGTACACAAGAGGGAAAAAGCCTGACAACACTGAGGAGGTGGAAGATGGAGACAAAAGAATGGGAAAGAGAAAACAGCTGAGACTATGTCAGAAAAACGTGTGCAAGGATCTTTTTGCAACCCCAGAGAGAATGACTGGCGTTTGGGCCATCCCTCTGAGATGATCCTGTGAAAAGCGAGAAGAGGGGATTGAGGAAAAGTATAGAAAATCCCACACACCATCTACAAAGGCTGAAGGGCACAGAACAGGCTGGATTAAAATGCCAAAAGAGAGACTTGAAGGCTCTTTGATGCCCATGGTCTTTTATTCATGCTTTTTAGTCCTTATTTGTAGACCACAGTGGGTTCCAGAATGAAGCTGAGGTAGGGGAAGGTGGACAATAAGGGTGAATCCAGTTTTCCAAACAAATAAGAGAAAGCTTCACATGTCATCAAGGTTAACTTTTTTCCAGAGACTTTCAAAATCTAAATTTAAAACATGTTTTATCTGATAATGAAATATAGCCGATTAATAATGTGATTGTTTCAGGGGCACCGCAGAGTGACTCAGCCATATATATACATGTATCCATTCGCCCCCAAACTCCCCTCCCGTACAGAGTTCCATGTTCTATACAGTAGGTCCTTGCTGGTTATCCATTTTAAATATAAAGATTGTTTTCTTTTTAATTAGAAATAAGTGCAACAAAAAGTCTGCTCTAAAAGACCCAGGGTTGTCTTCTATGATCCCACAATGGTGTGGTGGCAGCTGGTGGCCATGCTGGGGTGAAGACCAGAGTTAGGAGAACAGACTGGCAGGTACTGCCTGGGTGGACGGCTTCATGAAGTTTGCTGCAATCCT